GGGGGGGGTTAGGGGGGAAAAAAGCTGTTTTACTGTAAATAGTTGTGGAAGGTCTCTATAGCAGCATAACCTGTTTCTCCGCTGTTTGTGCGGGTACGGGATGAGACGCTGTTTTCCCCTCTGCCCCTCTGTTTGCGGTCAGGTACCGGTGTGTAGAAAGGCGGCGCAGCCCCGTGGACGCTGCTGCCGGCGGGACCTGGTTGCCGCTGGGGTAAATGGGGGCTGTTGTGAGAACTGCTGGTACCATCAGGTAAGTAACAGCTCTTTCTTTCCAGGAGATCTAATCCTCCCTTCAAAAAGAATACCCTGATGGTAATCAGCTGCTTCTAAGGACATAAATTCAAAAAAATAATTAATTCTTCCCAGAACGTTTAAAAATAACACAGGAGAAAAATGCGTCAGTTCTCATTTGGTAAAAGTACGTTAAAATAAAATAAAGTGAGGGCTTTTCTGGAGCCGCTGTAAATGAAGGTACGTGCCAGTAGTTACTGAACAATCGCAGATGCTCATGAAATCGAGTCTGTTCTGGCATCAAATATTGATAGCAGCTTAGCAAGCTGGAGTTCAGCGCGTTAAGCCAAAGGGGCAATTTCTTGTTGGGAAGCAGCATCGCTTGCTACGTGAGGATCTATAGAGCCTTGTTACAGGTTGGCGTATAGGCTGCGCATCTACTCACAAAGTAATGGGAAATCCCCCTGCGCTCCCCAAATCCTCGGTATGTAACAGTGGTTCTTGTTGGGATGCCTTTAATTAGGGTTAATGTCTCCATGTCTTCACCGTTCAGCTCTCATAATAGCTCTGAAAGTGTTTTCAGATGTCAACAGCTGCATAAACTATTACTCCAGTTAAACAACTGAAGAAAACACTCAGAAGACGTGCCTTGTTGGTGTCTCACTCATGAAACTGGTGATGGCAACTGGACTGACCAACCTTGCTCTGATTAAATTCTACTTTGCCATTAGAAAGGACAGCTCTTGTACCCCCGAGGAGCCTCATGGGGTCTGTACAAACCCCATAACCCTGCTGAAACCCACTCCCTGTCTGTAGCAAACCACTGATGGGTTTTTCTACTTGCTCTCTGCCAGCGATGGAGCGTTAATGTGCACGCTCCAGAGCCCGCTCTCTGCAGCGGGGTCGGAGGGGCGAGAGCTGGAGGAGAAGCCGCAGGTGACGTGGTTTGGAGCAAGGAGGGGACGGGACACCCCGTCTCCAGGGCTGAGGGGTGCAGAGCGCTGCCCTGCCTTCCCGCAGCCTGTGAAAGCTGGAAAAGCGGGGCATGCATTTAAAAAGTTGGTATGCATACATAAAACGCCTAGGGCAAAATCGGCCGTCTAAAAGGTTTTGATCATTTTCAGCTTCCTGGAAATTCCCTCCTATTGTGCTCCTTGGAGGCAAACTTCTGACAAACAGGACAGTGTGTTTTCTTTTTTTTTTTTTTTTTTAAAAGAATCTTAATTAAAAAGTCCCCCTCTCTCTTCCAAATTGTGCTGGCCACAGAGCTCACCATAGCGGCGCTTGTGGGAAGCTGCTTGTGCCCCATGTGCTCCTTACAGCATCCCTGCGGCTGGGGGAACGGACGCTCGCTTTATAAATGCAGCGAAGCATCTCGGGGTGAAAAACCATCATTCAGGAGACAACTCGAGAAAGGGAAAACGTCCCTCGGTTAACGGGCAGCTGGTTTACCTCTTCTGCAAGGCACGGAATCTCTGCTTAGCCATTGTGGTGTGGGTAGAGGCTGACGACGGCAAGGAGCCTTCGCCGTCAGGTGAGTAATTAGCTGCAGCGAGCTGATGTCGCTAACGCGCTCCGCTCGGCTCTGGGAGCGCTCCCCGCTCCGTGCGCGTCTCCGGGCTCAGCTGGGGGCTCTGCATTACGTGGGCCAAGTGTTTTAAACGGCGGCACGAGCTCGTCGTAGGGCTGTGGCGGGTGGGGTGGAGCTGGGGACGCGACGGCAAGGCACGATACCCTGGTGCACTGCGCGTCCCGGGCGCGATGGGGGGGGGGGTCCCTTCTCCCCCCGCCAAGGGGGGCACCCGCGCTGTCTCCCACTGGCACAGGTCCTTCCTGGCTTCCCAGCTGGAAGCGCCTGATCCCAGATTTGACTACAGAGGAAAATCAGGAAGGAAATAAGACGACGGGGAACATTTGATACATCTTTGAATTGCAAAATACCTTCTTCCTCGGAAAGCTTTTCTCCTAGTCTTGTAAGTTTGGCTCTAAGCTCCGAAACAGCGATAACGCCTCTCTTCTGCCTGTCTATCATGGACAAGGCCGTGAGGATTTCCCTCTCGGGTTCCTCTTGCTTCATTTGCCTGTACATTATATTCAGGAAAGTGGAGAAATCCAACTCTGCGTTTCTGTCTGGGAAAATAAGAGCAGATCCTTTAGGAATGGCTCAGTTTTGTAGTCTGGATCCAGACCTAAGCATCCCCCTCCTCTCCCTGCCCAGTTCCCCTTCCTGGGGCACCTTTTCCCTTTTCCCTGCCCCTGCTCTGGAGCAGGGTGGGCCACTGCTGCGGGCTTTCTCCTGGCCCAAAAGCCCATTTATAGCTCTGCTAGACTGGTGCTCTGCAACCTTGTACCCAGAATTTTTCATCCAGCCCACTTTATCTCATGATTCTTCTTTGGTCTTTGTGCTGTGCTTTGAATTTATTCATACATCTCTGCAGGTGAATATCTTTCTGTGCTTTTCTACCTCTGCTGGTTGGACTGGAGAGTTTCCAGCCTCAAACCCCATAATCGATACGTATGCCTCCCGCTGCTCTTGAAGCTTTTCTTTTTTAATGGCACTATTGTAGTCTGTGTGCTGGATTGACTTTGTTCACCGTCTAGCACATCCGACTAGGTTTGGGTGACCGCTCTTGGCTATGCTGCATTGCCTGGGCTGTTTCACCTGAGAGTGAATATTACCTACTGGGCTCCAGGCAGCCTCCTTTTCTTTGCATTTAGTCTCCTGACCACAGAAAAGTTGCATTTCTCCAACCGTAATCCAGTGTCTTTTATTCACGTGCTACCGCTGCACCTGGCTTACCGATATTGTGCAAGTGCAGGTGTCTCTGCACCTCTCCTGGCGTCGGGCTGGCTCCCAGGCACCGCATCACTGCCATCAGGTCGGAGGCTTTTATCTTGCCTTTTTCTTTCTTGTCGTACAGGGAAAAACATTCCTTGAACTCTAATTAAAAACCAAAACTCTTGTTATGCCATGTAAGATTACATTGATCTACCTACCGGTGACGTTTCTTCTCCCGTTGCCTGGTCGGGCGGCGTTGGTAGGGTTCCAGCGGGGATACGGTGTCTGCTTCGGGGTGTCTCGTTTCAAGGAAGATGATGGGCAGTGAGGGAGGACCCGGGGTAAAGTGCCAAGGGCAATTAAAATCCAGGCTTGTGAATAGCTGAACTAATTGGGGTCCTTCAGCCTAACGAAGCAAGTCTGAAAGTGGAGTCAGGCTTCCAAATACGTGGAATACTGTTAAAAAGTACTTTTTGCTGCCTTCGTGGGGGGTAGGAGAGGATGCTAAAGGAATGAGCCTGAAGGAGCGGTGGAGGGTGCTGGTTTGGTCCCTGCCATGGTCCCTGCAGCGTCTGGCACTTGCCCCTGCTTCGGCCTGCCACCGGCTGCATTTTAATAAAGATAATGTCGTGTTTGACGGTCTGAGTGCTGCCAGCTGTGTGAGCCTAGCCCAGGAGAGCCTGCCTGCCCTGCCGCCATCCCGCTGCAGCACCTCCCCTCCCTCGCTTCTCCCCGAGGTCCTCGCCTGCCTGCTCGCCCTCTTCCCTTCCCCCTCGAACGCTGGCTCCGCGGTTTTCAAATAAATAAATAAATGAGGGTTGCAGCTGACCTAGATAAGGCTGCCATCTCTCATCCTCCCTTCCCACACTGCTCCCCGCGCAGTGGCAGGCTCTGCTCCTCGTCACGCTCAGCGCTAATGGGCAAGTTGTGCTGCATAGGGACGGCCCTGTCTGCACAGCAGCCAGGGGAATAAAAATCAGCCTATTTTGGCGCGATCACCCTCTGTGCTCATCCTCTCTGGCCATAGACCTTATTGCAGGTGTGAGTGCAGCGTGGCAGGGCCCCGTGGGTGCTGGGCGCCCCGTGGGTGCCTCCTCCCCTGCAGCGATCCTGCAGAGTTGCTGAGCCCAAGGGTGCTGCAGATTAACAGATTGGTAATAATACTCTTATTTCAGCTTTCTTCTGCCATTCTTGTAGCAAACCCTTCCTTGTTCCCACCTGAGGCAGGGCTCCCCTCTCCCAGGGAGAGCCCCGGTGCCTCGCAATGAGAATTTGTCCTTCCCGCACCCTCTCCTTCCTCCTCCTCCTCCTCCTCCTTCACCTTCGCTCCCGTCACATGTGAAACCTCCAGTACTGCAACTGGTCACCTGAAATTTCTCCTGGTCCCTGCTAGCTTGCCCAGGGCTGACGTGTTTATGGGGTTGGGAGGTTGCTGGTTAACCTCTGCCGGCCTCGATGCGATCCAGCCTGCGGGTCTGCGGGGGGTGTCAGCTCCCTGCCTGGGCCCAGCGCGCTCTTCACGAAATCAGGGGGGTTTCTCTGCTTTCAGAGCAAGCCGAGCCCCTCAGGCGCTGGGAGGAGGGCAAGTGGGGAGCACGAGCCCAGGCCAAGGCACTTCGGGGGGGAAATGCCATTTTTTATATATTTAAAAATGTGTGTATGTATATATATATAAATATATATATAAAAATACATTAAAATTAAGCTGATCTTGCTAATTAAAAACAAAAACCAAACAAAACCAGAACAAAACTGTACGTACCATTAATCTGATCCTGGGACAGAAATTTTGCCTGTAGCGTGAAGTGGGGAAGGAGAAGGAAAGAAAGAAAAATAAAACAGCTTTAAAATGTGGAAGGGGGGAGCGGGCGTGAGTGGTTTGTACCAGCCGAAACGCTTCACTCACCATTATTTTGGGGGCCCTCCTTGTGTTTTACGCTGCCCGTCCCGATCGGAGGCGTCTGCTGCTACTTTTTCTATTTGATTAAGGGCTAAAGTCCGCCAGCCCGGGGTGGAGCGCGGCCGGGCTGTAATAAATACCCCGCTGCTATGGCTACGCGACCTGATCCGTGCTGGGGCTGGATCCCGCTGCCAGCACGGCTCCTGCTCACACGCCGTGGGGCGAAGGGCTCTCCCCAGCCTGCCCGAAGCCCTGGGGCTCTGGACAGGACCCCGAGCAGCGATGCTGCCAGGGGAGTGGGGCAAGAGCTTCCCTCGGTCGGGGTTTAAGGGTGTTTGGGGTCGGGCTGGATGGAGATGAGCTGGTTGAACGCAGAAGGTTCGATAATCTCAAATAGCTGCACACCTTGCGCTCAGCTTAGCTGCTGGGAGACAAATCCAGCCTCGCTGATATCTGCTGAGGCCCCTGGGGAAGGGTGCGGGGGGATTTACAGCTTTGCAGTTTGCTGCTGGAGGGGTTTTGCAGGAGGAGGAGTTAATTTGGGCTCTGCAGGTCCTGGCTGAGCTCGGTGCGGGGTTTCGGGCATCTCTGGGCTTGCAGGGCAAGGGGGTTCAGACATGCGCCCTGCAAACACGGTGAAGCTGGGACATTGCAGACGGGCTGAGAGGAGAAAGGATTTTTGAGATGGTTTAAAAAGCTCCCTGTTGTCTGAGTTTTTATTTATTATCGTTTACTTAGTTAAATCTGCTTGGGAGCAAACAGCCTCCAGGACTGCCAGGTCTCGTTGCAGCCCTTGGCTGGGGCTCAGAAGGGGGAGAGGGAGGAGGCGATGCTGGGGGAGAGGGAGGCCTGCAGCCAGCCCGAGAGCTGTGGGCGTTGGAGCCTGGGTGCCTGGGGGAGGCAGAGCCCCCAGCTGCTGTGGACCAGCCCAAACGGCCGTGTTTGCTCACATCTGGTCCCTTCCAGCGCTATGCTTCTGCCACTCCGTTGGCATTCGAGCCATTGAAAAGCAAGTATTATACACGGAAATGCTGAACAAAATCTACAGTTTTGTCCTGTCCCATCCTCCACAAAAAAAGCCGAGCCAGCAGCTCGCCCTGGTGCTCCTGGGTGTGGGATGGGCGATGATGCTCTGCCTCTCTGGATCTGCCGGCGCTTGAAGTATCCCGAAAAGAAACCCAGCGGCTGTGCGGGCAGGGCTAGCACATGTGGGGGGGGCGAAGTACCTGATGCCAGGCTGTGGCTGAGATCTAGACCCAAGAACAAAATATTTAGTGGCTGTAGTGACCACTATAGCATAGACTGGACCCTTCCCAGGGTGGGAACCTGACCGGGGGGGGCCAGACCCCTTCAGGGTCCTTAAATCTCATGGGATAAAGGTTCTCCCTTCAAAGAAGAGAGCTGCTTCAGGAAGCAAGGCGAGTCACTCAGCTTTTACTAAATGTTTTTATTCAGCATGTTTCACTAATAGCTTTTTTTCTTCTACCACTTGGACTCCATCACGCAGGGCTCTCACAAATTTTATAGACATAAACCATGGCAGGGACGCAGCTGGAGTTGCAGGGCCTCAGCTCCATCACCTGAAGCTGGATAAGCGGCGAGCGGGAGCAGAAGCTGCTGGCAGCGCAGACTCCATGCGACTGGGGCCGAGGCTGGAGCTCACCCCCTGCCCGATGCTCTTTTTGGGCTGCATTTGTGAGGAATTGGCCCTTCTGGCTCTGCTGCCAGCCAGGCCCTTCCCGCACCGCGCCGGCGCTCAGCAGCGATGGCTTAACCCCGGCGCTGATGGCTGGGAGCCGGGGAGGGCTCGCCGGGGAGGCACGGCCGAGCAGAGCCGCCATGCAGATCCAAGGTAGGGCAGCTCAGCCCCTTCCCAGCACATTTACTCAGCTGGGAGCAGCGTGGGAGGAGCAGATACATCTCTGTGCCAAAACCCGGGGAGGGTGAGAGCGCTCCGACTTCCCAGCACGCACTCCCGTTAAAGGCTGGGATGCTCTCGGGGGCGGCAAGGGTGGGATGTGGGTTCACCAGCGGCGTGGACCACCGTGGGGCTGGGATGCTGTGCCCCTGCTCTGATATGGGAGGGACTGGGTGCTGTCCCGTAAGCACCCAAAAAAGTCCAGTGTGGATCTGCGTTGTGCAATTGCAAGGGCTGGGCGGTGCGAAGCCGGGGCAGCTCCTCCGCCGCAGCCCTGCCTCTACAGCGTGAAGTTGCAAAGACTTATCTTTCCCTTTTTTTCGAACACCCCCTCCCCAGCTAGGTCTCGTTAATGCACGACACATCTTGCAGCTAATGTTGGTCAGGAATTTATTTGAAATACATCTACATTAGAAAAAACTAGATTTATTTTTCTTCTGATCACTCTAAAATATCAAAACTTATAAACTTTCCTTTGCTGCATGGAGGTTGTTCATGTGCAGGGTGTAAAATGCCCACGGCTCAGGGATATAGATCACGCCAGGGTACTTCTTCCTGAGAATCTTGTCATTCCACAGCCAAACCACCCAAACAGCAATGAGGACCAGTGTTATGATGAAGGAGTAGAAAAGAAAAAGCCCATTGCTGTCCAGGACGAGTCCTTTGCGTTTCTGGTGCATCACTAAAGCCATCATGGCAAAGAAAGTGAAAATGTAGAGGATGAAAATCTGACCTTCCGTCACCAGATACCTACAAAGCAAAAAAACCCATTAGTGCCCCCGGGAGAAAGCACTGCGCGGCGGCAGCCCCAGCACAGCCAGCTCTACCTGGGGCGAACGTCTCCCCCTTCTCCCTCCTCTACAGCCAAAGGAGGCTGTGCTGCTTTCTACGGCCAGCTTTTACGCTGCGATTTGTTTTCACGTTTCGTATCAGTAATTTAACAACTGAGCTATGGGCTTCATTAAGAGAACGGGTAAAGAAACACGCGCCCAGTATGGGATCTGAAAGGTGCTGGGCTCAGTTTGTGCATGGGATGCTTAACGGCAAAACAAAAGTCAGACTGGCTCCAAACCGTGGATGCTTTGCTCATTTAGTCCAAAAATCCACTGCTCGCCCTGTGCTGTACCTGGCAGCGGCCGGTCCGGAGCGGGCCTTAGGGGACGGGAATTACACTCCCTCGTTCTTAAATCGCTAGCACATGAACTGCAGAGATTCACGCTGATATATTTAAAGGAAGTGCAATGGGGTAACTGGGAACTAACCAAATCTTCCTGATGATTTTGACTATCAAAAATTAATTTACTGTATAAAAACAGTCTCAGCAGGGGGCAAAGCCACGGGCAAGAGAGAACATCATCTCTGAAGATGAATGAAAAGTTGTTTGGCTGCCATCAGGGAAACTGTTTGGGAAGATGAGGCTAATGAAAATGGGAAATAAATAAGACCTCTCTCAAAAGGCTATTTGGACCCGCAGGGCGAGCCGAGGAGGCCGCATCTGAGCATCACGCAGGCAGCCTGGGCTCTGTGTGAAATCCCAGGACAACTGGTGAGAGCATCCCACTGCCACCAGCAACCTGAGACCAGGCAGACGCGCTGCAGGCACCGGGTGACCCCCCCAAAATCGTCGAGGAACTGCGACAGCGCAGCAAACGGCAGCCTTTGAAGGGGGGCAGACAGCAAGTGCTGCAGAGGCTGGAAGCTGGAGCTCCAGCAGTAACAACATGACCGCCAGGGTGGCTGAAGAAACACCCCAAGCCGGGACAGGGGTGCTGATGAGTGACCCTGAAGTTGTCCCAACTTGCAAAGGCTCAAGTGGCTGCAAATTCCAACCAGATTTGATTTGATTTTCCAGACCTGCGGAGCAGAAGCTGCAAGGTCTGCCCTGGGGAACAGGGAGCCGCTGCCTGCACGCTGCCCGCTGCCTGCGGTGCTCCCCAGGGCTGCCTGCGGTGCTCCCGCTTCGTCCCTCGCCCACCCAGAGCGGACAGAAGCCGCTTACCAGTAATAAAGGCTGCTGGGCCCCATCAGAAGCAAGGCAGGCACTGGCATCCTGCTCTCCTCTTCAACAGGGGTGAAGCAGCCGGTGAAATATATAAAGAGTATCAGGAAAAAAGGGATGTACCTGCAAACAGAAACAACACACGGATCAGTGGTGAGACCCTGGGATGTGTTTAAATCCCCTCCAACCCAAACCATGCGCATAGGCAATTCCTATGCCGAGCCTGTGAATTAATTTGGTGAAAGAGCAGCAGCAGAGGCCACCCAGCCCACTCTGGCCACACGTGCTTGGGCGGGTGAAGCAGTGGGTAACTGGGAGGTGGGGTCCTGCGGTACCAGTCAGGGCATCACCTCTCTGCCAGTGTCACAGCCCTCGCGACGAGATTACCGCTGCGTCCAAGGAGGGACGAAGGGCTGGCGGTGCCTGGTGCAGGGCTAGTCTGTGTCCTGGCTGCACCGAGCGCTCCTGCAGATAATGAGACTTCTGGGGCTCTCGCAGGAAAAGCCCAAGTTTGCTGATTAAGTCAAAGGCTGGGCTCAAGTGCTCGGTCCAACAATTGCATTTGTTACGCTCCCAGGCTCTAAGAGGCTGTTTAAGAGCATTGTGTCCCGTTAAAAGCTGAACTGCAGGAAAGCAGGATGTGGACCAAGCTTTCAACAACCTAACAGAGCCCTTTTCTCTTTAAAAGAACAGAATTTGCTTGCTTCGCAGAACTCAAAGAACAGCAAATAAACTGGGAAGGCTTGACGGGGGAGAGATTTCCCTCTGTGCTCAGAGAGGTCTCAGGATTATCCGGCAGCGGATGAAGGGCCAGACCGTCCTCTCTGGGGTCTTCGGCACAGGCAGGGCAGGACGCAGGACAGTCTGCAGCAGCGGGCGGTGCTCTCCCGCGCGGGGGGGGGGCGGCGCGG